AGATTATATTTCACATTATAGCTCTGCCACTCCTGTGGCCTTGGGGGACACTTGGTCTGTGCCAGTGAACATGCACCACTGTCTCCAACAGCCTGCAGCAAAACAAAGTTGATCACACTTCCTCATCTGTGTTGTCATGCTCATGCACTGCTACAATAACTCCACAAAGAATTATGTTGAAGTAGACAAGATGCCCAGCTTAGGGGTAAATAATGCGTTTCTGGTGCTGCTGCCGAAATTGGATGTACAATGTAAAAAGTTGTGTCCGTCCCTATTGCCCTTTAGTCATTGTTAATGGAGTGGCTTTGGTTTTACAACATTGTTGATCCTGTAGATCTTCAAACACAGACTGAACAACCATGACCCAGAGGCATTGTAAATGATAATTTCCCTTGTTTGCCACCTTTGCTTTTCAGGCTTAAAAAGTGGTCTATCCAGAAAATCAAATGTTATCTTACCTCAGGAGCAGGTCAGCAAAGTCGGTTTCCGATGGTAACTTTTGTTCCCGCTAGGCAAAACTCTACATCCTTTCCCTAAACAGCAAAGTAGTTTTCACACTGAAAAACCTTTCAGCATTTTTTGCCAACAAATATGCAGAGCTACTTTTCCTAATAAGAAAAAAAATTAAGTCAGCTTTAAGTTATGATTGTGAGGTTGACATGACGCAAACTAAACTATGTGTACATATCGTATAAAATATCTGTAGTGAAGACAATGTCTAACATTTTATTTAAAAGTCCTCCTTATAATGCGTTACAAACCATTTATAAAGTCCAAAGTGATACACACCTGACCAGACAGCCTGCCATACAATATTTACAAAGCATTCTGTCACAACAGCCTCTACACATTATTATTATTTATTTGTTTGCCTCAACAAGTCGGTAGTGGCTGAACTGAACCTAAAGTCTGTAGTTGTCTGTGTGTGGACATTTGAAACAATGGCCATGGGCACCAAAGCAGAGACAACCCATCCAGATTATGTAAATACCAGTCTGCCTGCCTGGAACTGAATGTTAATGCTCTGATCTGAAATGCTAATTGTGTCTTGTGCGATATGTCGAAACAGTGAAGAGCTGCATTGTGGGATGGAAAATTGAAAGCTTGTTTGTTACTGAAGTTGATCAGGCCCTTTGATTATTTGCAATAGCAGGCAGGCAATTGCTTCCTAAGATTTAGGAACATTTGTGGATAATACCGTGCATTGGCTTACTAAAATGCAACAGTACTATAGTGTCTGTTCCCTGAGATGTAAAGAAGATGTTAAAATCATGATTTTGCATTAAAGGCTTGAAAGACTCAACGCCAGTGATGGAAAAACTGGAGCAGCCCAAATACAGGCTTTGATGCCCTGTGCCTGTTTTAGATTTATGTGTGCATACTGTGGTGCAAAAAAAGGACACAAGCTGGATAAACGAGCAAATTCCCTGCATTTGACTTGTTTTACAAAACTTTGGGAACACGTCTACAAAAACCCCCATATGAGAGATTTTTGTAGCACTGTGCTTATTCAAAATGGCAACAGGTAGGAGAAAGTGCTGTTGTTGGAAAATCAGCATTGCACATCTCGGTTGATGGGTGATAAGCATCTGATCAGCTGTCCATCAGCCTTACTGATGGATTGGGTGACCTTTGAACTGTCCTTGAGATTGAAGTTTAAAAGGACAAAAATGCGATGTGGACATCAGTCCAAAAAAAGGTTGACAACACATGTACCTTTAGTTACAACAACGCAGTATGATTTTGTGATATATGAGTATTCCCACAACCCGGGGGCCCCCCCTCCACCTACCAATGCACCCGTTTTCTTTTCACTTCACTCTCTCTTCTCTCTCTCCTGCAATTTTCCATAATGCCCTTACAGATTTTACACTCAATCCACCTTTGCGATGACCAAGGCTTTGAGGAAATCCAATTCCACCAAGCTGTTTTTCAGAACTTACTCTCCACAGGCACACACTCACTCACTCACATACACACAACCATCTCCACAAATTAGTCAGGGAACAAATTACCTGCATTCTGAGTGTGATCCCACGCACTTTGCCGGCTGCCTTACACAGGTCCCCTTTTGAAGAGCAGCCATGTGATTTCTCTCTCTTTTGCCCTGCAGGCCCCTTTGCCTTCTGCGAGGGATTCTGGAGTTGAATTTTAAAACTATGTATGGCTGCTGCCTGCGCTTATCAGCGCGTGCACAAGCGGCATGCAAATCAGACCAGGATCACACACCGCATTGGAGGCCTACACTCAAAGGCAAGCTTAATTGCTAATTGGGTATCTAGGTGTGAAACTCACACTGCCAATGAGAAGGCAGGAATATGGATGTTTTAAGGCCAGCGGTTGAACTAATTAATTTTAAATCTGAATGTTATTAAAAATGTGTGGATTCCCTGCATTTTCTATGAAGAAAACAGCCCAGGAGAGTGCTGTGGCAGTACTTTTAACAGCAATTGGACATATTGGTGTCTGGTTTTATAAACCATGATGTCATTTGTGTGGAGGGTTTTGCAATGCTGATGTGGTCCAGCGGAGGTGTTGTTTACACACCACAGACATCCTGCAGTTACATTGATGTTATCAGGCATTTAGCCAATAAGAAAGGGAGGGACATAGTTATGTTTTTAAGCAATGTGAGCTGGTACTTTAGCAGTGATGTTCTTCGTATGTGGCAAAAAAAGGCACTAAAGTTTATTATTTTAATTCTAACAATTTAAAGAGTGTTTATGCACTTTAATAAAAAATGCAAAAAAAAATGCACAAAAAACTATAACAAGCTGCTTTTTGTATGATTAGAAAAACTCATGATCAGTCAGGTGCTTCTTAGTGATGTGTGTGGGTGGAGGGTGTTGTGGGGACATTTAAGTCCAGGTAGTTGAGTGGGCTGGTCACCACTTTGGACTTTGTGAGTGTGTTGTGTTGAAGGAGGGATGACCTGCTGAACAATGGGCAGCAACATCAGGAGGAGTGTGATGCGCGCAGAAACTCTGCTCCAAAAGGGCAAAGGCCAGCAGTGACAGGTCCAGATGTGCGCGTGGACCCATATCGAAAAACCAGACCTATACTTTCTTATTGAGTAGGATTTGTTTTAATCCTGAAAATGCGACGCACATACCTGCTACTGAAACAGCGACAGCCCAATAGAGCCCCGGGCGCTACAATGCTAGTGTTGTCGGGGGCTTTGACTTCTCCCAGCCATTGCACAGAAGCTGCTCTGTGTGACAGCAACGGCGCCGCTCTTCCCCCGGTGATCGCTACCCCGCTTTTTAAACGGCCTCTCCACATTTGGCAGGTGCGTTGAAAAAGCCGACAGCGTCCTATCTCTTACCTCAACGTCTGCGCTGTAATGGACGAAACGGACATCATGGATTTAACGCACCAGAAGGCGAGAAAGCGCCCGCGTCCAATCAGTTCTGTGGATGAGTCCATGCACGCTCCCCTCAAAACCGGCTCCCGATCCGAGCGTCGGAGTGCAGGGAGCCCTCTCTGATGTACAGAGGAGATCCGGTCCACGGAGCATCTCTCAAACAAAATGACCACTCGTTGACTTCCTCTCCAAACACAGTGATGCCGCCGCAGGTAAACGCGTAAAAGTCTGAAATTGCGAGAAAAAAAGAGGAAAATTAACTGGGGTAGAAAGTGTCACTTCTGCTTGAGGAGCGGACAACGTTGGGTTGTATTGAATGCAGTATGTGAATACATTGTCTTCCTGCTGTCCTTAAATGATGGAGTGCGCACTATTGTCACGCACCCCGTTTCCTGTTTTCATTTACATTAAACACTTTTAAATAATTTTATTTAAATGTTTTTTGAAATATGTTATATTTAATCACCCAAGTGATAGAGAATGTCACAGACTAGTATTTTTCTTCCTTTCATCTCCACCCAAGGTCTTAAACTATTTGAGGGGTAAAGTAAATTTTCTCCTCAGAGCCCTGACAGAAATTGTCTCCTAATGGTGGTTTGTAGGTTAACGGCGACAATTTCACCAAATCCTATTACCCTGTTCAAATCAAGAGTCATTATTGCTAATTTCCAAGACTATGAGATTGATGCTCCAAATTAATTTGGGTTTTGGAGATTAATGGCCCCAGGAGTGGATGCTTGCGGGCTGTGGCAACATTCAGGTCAAGGTCAGCTGCTCTAACTTGCAGAGAATAATATCTTCACTCGTGACTGTGAAGTGTGTTTTCTTACAGAATTGTTGAGTCTAAATTATTTTTTCCAATTTTAAAATCGTACTTATCAAGTCCCCTGTGTTGTGTTTTTTTATAGTACATCTTGATATGCAGGAGAAAAAACTGAATTGCATACATCCTGTCTTAACGTGTTCTCTTTTGTTACATGTTTTGCAGGATAATCGCTGCAGTATGTCCAGGCCCATGATCACACGATCACCGGTGTCTCCCTTGAGCAACCAGGGCAATCCCAGCAACCTGCACAGCTCACCAAATCCAATGCGCCTGTGCACATTGATGTGGGCGGACACATGTTACACCAGCAGTCTGGCCACCTTAACCAAAATTCCCAGAATCCCGGTGAGTCTGCTATACCATGCACCTGTATTTAAAGTGTGATGGAGATAATGTTAGTGTTTTTATTTTTGTGTCTAGTAATTTAGCTTGAAACGGGAGAGCATATTGTGGAAGGTGCAGCGTCTTACACATTTTCTTTTAAAGCCGGTTTGTCATCAGCGTTAGAATGTCATCCTGTGACATTAAACAGCCAAATGTCACATCTCATCAAATCACAGAATATCTCATGGGTGGACTTGGTGCAAAAAACGGAGTATAAAAGAAATGTTTTACTGCTTCTATCCAACAAATCTGCAGCATCAGTTGCTTTTTAATCAGGTAGTATCACAAAATGTTTCCCCCCGTCTTAACTGACGAAAACAGTTATTTAGGGGGCATACATTTAGGAGTTCAGAATGCAGTGCACAGACAAAAGCAACTTGGTTATTCTGACAGATGTCACCACGCAGCAGTAAAGGGCCAAAGGGCATGGGGCCATCTGGAGGCTGCGAGGCCTCACTGTCGCTCCCAGCCAGGGCCCGGGGGTGACTGGCACCCTGCCTCAGGCAACCAATCACCAGCTGGCCCTGACCTTTTCAGACCACCTCTGTTTTTAATCTTTCTTTCTCTCTTCTTCTTTCTTTCTCCTTATTCTTTGCCTTCTTTTCTCATGTAGATGGTTGTATCAAGCTTGCTAATCTGTTCAGGTCTGTGCAAAAGTGGGAAAAAACAGAGCTTGGGAATTGAATGAGTCATAGAGCCCTTTGGAGATGTTTCTTGCTTAACTTGTATGATTCTTGCCTCTCTAATCTTCTTCTGTTACCCTCTCTTCTCTCCCACAATGCAAGGTGTCAAAAAACACAAGCTAAAGAGAAATATACTGAAAATGCCGATTCTATAGAGCTTTGTGCTTGCAAACATCTTGAATGTAAGATTGTTAATGTTGACATTTTGTCCCCCCTCCCTCCCTACTTTTCTGCCCCCCCTTCCTTCTCTGTGGGTAGAATCGGTCGTCTCTTTGATGGCACAGAGCCTATAGTCCTGGACAGCCTGAAGCAGCACTACTTCATTGACGGGATGGACACATGTTCCGCTACATCCTCAACTTCCTCAGGACGTCCAAGCTCCTCATCCCAGAAGACTTCAAAGTGAGTTGGATGGCCATCCTGAAAAAACTGTAAAGTCCCATCAGCCAGTCAGCAGTCCTACAACTTAGCGCACACAATGAATGCTAAGGCCGTGGAATGCCTTTGTTGTTGGTCCTCTTTGAATTGCCAGAAAATGTTTCCCATGCTGGGGACAAAATATCAGGGCAAACAAAGCTCAATCATAATGCCTTTACTCATCATGGGATGAGATTTGGTCCCTTCCCAGCTCTCATTGTCCAAAGATGTTTTGATACAAGGAAAAACAATAAGCTTGCATCAAGACAAATAAATAAATGCTCTGGCGCCCACGACTACATTGCATGTGCTAGATTTCATCAGCGCTCTGTGATCTCAAGCCAAGTGTCCATCCAGGGTGAGTCTCACTGTATGTGACACATTAGCATTTTTTACTCTTATGTGTCATTTAGTCCGTAATTACTTAACTTGCCCTGGGAGAAAACAAATAACCACATTATCTGATGGACTGTCCACAGTGTGACTCAATCAGTAGAAAGTATGTCAGTTAAAATAAGCAAAGACAAAAGACAGACTTGAGTTCAAGCTCAGGCTATGTTCACGTTGAGTAGATTTAGAGAGGAGCATGAGAAAACTTGAATGTGGTGAGATTTAGGCCCTGCAGTCCTGCGGGTAAAGGATCTGCTCCTCTACCCCATGCAACCCTGTGTTACATGTCGCACTACATCTCCTCTACACTGGATCTTTTGTAATTGTAGCTGAATGGTGTCTTTGCAAGGCTTTATTGCTCGTTCATGTAGAACAGTGGTTTTCAAACTTCTTTGTTGTCTCTTATTTGGTTCAAACCCACATTAGAAAGAAAAACACTACCATAAACGGACTATCTTATTCTGATTTTAGGTTATTTGGCTCTCTAGTATAGCAAGATTGCATTTTGGCTACCGGCCTTAGCCCACTCAGTGTAGTCTACTGGAGAAGACTGTCCTTCTATTGCTAAGCTTTATATATTTTTAATGAATGAAAGAACAGATAAGAGATTATAGGCCTTTTGGGATATTAGGTATCAGGTGTAAATAAAAAGCTTTTAATCTAATAATACTTTTCTACAAATTATCTTAATGCAATTGACAAAACCAAGTCACTTACTGGTCATCACCTTTTTTTTTTTTTTTTTTTTTTCTTTATTTCCTTTTTTTTTGTTTTTTAATTGTATACAGTATGCAAGATTCTGACTGCCTTTTAAACCTGACACCTTTTAGAATAATAAAACTCATTAAATTACATTTTGTAACCCTTTACAAGTATTATAAGAAAGTAAACAGTGAAGAGCTGACAGGACATTTTTAAATCGTAAACTATATTGTGAGTTGGTTTAAACCTATTTGCCCCAAGTCTACCTTAAAGAAAACTAATGGTAGGCGACTGATGACAAAACTTGTTGTTGTGTGGTTTAACCTAGCAAAGTAAGAGTTGACAAAATTGCAATATAAAACAGCACGTGTTAGATAATAAACTAGATTATTTAATAAAAATAAATAATATACTAATTTGTGAGCACCCTGTGCCCGTCTCCTGCAGGACTTCACTCTGCTGTATGAGGAGGCCCGGTACTTCCAGCTGCAGCCCATGCTTGCTGAGTTGGACAACTGGCGCCATGATCAGGATCTGAGCCGGGTGTCGCGCCCCTGCGAGTGTTTGGTGGTGCGAGTTGCACCTGACCTGGGCGAGAGGATCACGCTCAGCGGTGACAAAAGCCCTGATTGAAGACGTGTTTCCAGAAATTGGTGACGTCATGTGCAACTCCGTGAATGCTGGCTGGAACCATGACTCCACGCACGTCATCCCGATTCCCACTTAATGGATACTGCCACCATCAACTCTGTGCAGGTAATGGGAAACAGAGCGCTCTACTGTGGGTGTATTCCCCAATAAGTATTTACATTCAAATGTATGTTAGGTTTGTTTTTAGAAGCCCAAGGGATTGACTGAGGTGATGATCATTCAACTTTTTTCATCTGCTGTTATAATGTAGACTTTAAGAAATGTTCCTGATGTCTGATTGCAAAATATTATCTTTATTTAATCTAATCGAATCACAAGAACAGCCTTGCGGAAAAACTAGTTCTTGATGAGTTCATCAAAGCATCAATTTAGCAAGCCATCATTACACAAGTCTACCACCATCTTTACTTTTTTAAGATCTGACCGGAATAATCATTTTGGCTCTCGAGATGGTGGAACGCATGTTTTAATATCATACATACCATTGTAGCACTTATAATATGGTCCTCGTCTCATCCAGCTTTCATCTGTGTGGGCGTGATTGTTTTAAAGTTTCCCTTTAAAGCTGGCATCAGTGCCGACCTGCAGAAAAAAGGACAGCAAATTGGTAAATGGTGGATTTCAACCCATTTAGTAAAGGAATGGCTGACACCTTGAATTGGGTGGAGAGTTACATGAATGTGCAAACTTAGGGAAAACTGGCTCACAGTAAGAGGAAGTGGGCAATTCAGCTTGCAGTGACACTCTTAAGTAGACTTGAGATGATTCCCCCGAGTGTTAGAGGTGTTTGGATTATGCTCATTTTTAATTAAAGCCAAGCAACTTCACATTTGTGTTTGTTACATCCAAGAAACAAATCAGCAGAACACATTTTTTCTAAGATCTCTTACCAAATAGTAGTTACGCAGATCCAGAAGACTCCAGTCCCCCACTGCCGGCAGATGCAAGTTATTGAATACCAACAATTCTTTGAGGCTGTGCAGGCCTCATATGAGGTTATTTTCTATGGAAGCAAACCTCCAGCAAATTACTTTATCATAACCATTCAAAGATATGTTCTTCTATATACTGTTCATAGGATTTAATATGATACTTTTCCATCCATAACTTGTAAGACTTAAACAAAGTTCTACATTACTTACATTTTGTTGAATTAATCTTTTATTTTCAGCATGTATTTGGCAATATTGTAGTTTCCCGGTTATATATTGATATTCCACTCATGCATTGATGGTAACATCTCCAAAAGCGCATCAATAAACAATGGAGGAGAGGCATAATTGAAAAGATTTCACAATAACTTGGACTGTGTCTCCATCTGAGAAAGTCAAATCTCCATCTCCCTCCCAAAAAACACACAAACAAACCCGTCTCTGAAGTGTGTGAGTCGTGGAGAGCAAGCAAGAGAGTGAGCATGCTCCCTGGCAGGTTGTCCCCAGGCAGGGCCCATAATCCTGTTTGGTTATTAAAGCACGCCGGCGGTGGATGCTGTATCTGCGGCTAATGGAGGCAGGGCGGGGGTTTTGAGAGAAGGAAGGGGGGCAGAGAGAGCTGCCAGCAGTAGGGGGACCTTTGTAGTTTTGACGGAGGCTTGGGCCTGAGGGCTAGGGGAGAAATGGGGAGAGGGGGTTTTGCTGAGCGGCCCACACTGAGCCAAGTGGCAGAGAGAAAGCCTCACTGCTCCCTGGGGCCTCTTCGATGGAATGTGATCCTACTGGCCCCCCGGACACGTCTGTAGATGTCTGCAAGGCTGCGAGATCAGACACACACACACACACACACACACACACCACACACACACACACCACACACACACACACAACACACACACACACACACACACACACCACACACACACCCACACACACACACAGCACACACACACACACACACACACAGCACACAACACACACACAACACACACAGCACACACACACACACACACACACACACACACACACACAGCAACACACACACACGACCACACAACACACACACAGCACACACACACACACACACACGACACACACACACACACACACACACACACACACACAACCACACACACACACACACACACACACACACACACACACAACAATGAAAAGGAGGCATGAGCAACGAGAGGCTCTAGTTTTGTGAAAGTTTCATCCAAATTCCCGTCACCGGCCGTATGATGCAACTTACTCCTAAAGCTGTTTCTGTGCAGTGTTGTAACTACAAAAGTTTTGGATCGTTTTGTGGGTTCCTGTTTTGGGCAGTAGTAAACTAAAGTTAAATGTCCACATTTTATGGAAAGTGACCGACCTCAATGAAGGATTTCCAGGTTGGCAGTGATTATCAAGGATGGAGTAAGCACTTCCTGTCACAAGAGTGTTGAAAAAGTATTCTTATGAAGCATTTTCCTTCGTGATTGATGTATTGCTTCTGACACCTTCCTCTTTTCTACCTATTTCAGGTTCTAGAGCGCCTCCAACAACGTGGTTTCGATATCGCCGGCTCCTGTGGCGGCGGCGTTGATTCATCCCAATTCAGTGAGTACGTCCTGAGGAGGGAACTGAGGAGGACGAGTCAGCGAGGATCCAATTCAAACAGGATAAAGCAGGAGCAGCTGGACTAGAAACTTCCCGAGCAGCAGGAGGTGCTAGACTTTTCTGTGGCAGCCAAACGCTTGAAGCTGCAGAGCTCTGAGGACTCACTTTTTTCTTCGTTTCCTTGTTGATGTTTTTGTTTTCTTAAACTTGAGAACCATCTAAAATAAAAATGAAATGCAACAGGAGATTTTTTGCCATAAGAAGAGACAAGACATTTGATAAGTTTGAGATTGCAAGGACATTTTTGAATGTCTAGCCCCCCATAAACCAATTTAAAAAAGGGATTTATTTACAGTAGATCCCAAAACAAAGTTTGTTTTAAAACTTGGAGCCTACATTAGGTTGAATATGATTTCTATTATACCCATATAAATTTAAAAAAAGGCTTTTATTTCTTATGTAGTATGTGACATTACGTGTCACCAGTGACTTGGTTTTGATGTCTCACTGGCAAATTGGCTAAGTCTGTTTTTATCCCTTGCTGTAAGAAGGTCACTAATATGTGACAATACAGAATGTCTCAGTTGTCATAAACAGTTAGTTTCAACAAAGCATCATTTTTCACAAATCACATGATGTTGAATATTGTGATACCAATGAAGTGTTTTGTTTTTTTTACTTGAAAGTTATTTTTTTGATTATGCCATGACATATAGTTGACATTAGTGCCATCAAAGTTAAACCTCTAAGATACGTTTCTATATGCAGAAAATAAAATAATTTAGTAAATTATAATATCACAGCATTGGCCTCATTGGGGAGTATGAATACTAGCCCCCATGTGCTACTTTGGGGATCATTTAATTGGATCATAATATTCCTCTGAGTCATGACCTGTAAACTCTTCATTGTATATGTGTTAGTGTTTTTTACATTTAATCTTTTTAAAACAAATGTGTTGCCTGGACAAGACTGAACAGATTAAAGCTTATCGTACTACCCACTCCAAGGTCACTTTTACTCGTAGCACATATTGATATGAAGTTGGATATAAAGTATTTCTAAGATGACTGACCCACCTACGCTCCCTAGATTTGAGTAAAGAGGAATGTAGCACAAAATGTGAAATAAATCTCAACTACAGTTGTCATGGTGTCTGTTCGCTGTTTTACATCGCTGTAGGGAGTGCTTTAACAAGTCTGCATGGTTAGATAATTATTCCTTAAATTTGAATGTATCCTACATCTTAAAATCCTTTTTAGTATGTTAGCTCCCTACACAAAGGTAGAGCTAACTTTACCAAGGCACTTTACCTTGGAGGATTTATGCTGGTGCAGCAGTGACTACATGGGGCATTCTTTACTTAGTTATATTGAATAGAGCCGACTTCTCCACGCAAGTCCTGTCAGTTGTGCTTCCACAAATCCCTGCAGGGCCAAAATCCAAAGTGAAATCCCACACGGAGCCCTGTCGTCTTGTCTTCATCCCTTTTGGCAGAATCTCCACTTTCTTTGGCTATCTACGGTTTATGCTATATGTCTCCATTTCAGGCCTCTTTGCCCCAGATTCCCTTTTGACTGACTGTTATTCTCATAGGCTAGAGGTGCAACTGTGAGTGGTACACGGCAATGCTTCGCTCTCAATCATAAAATCAAAGTATTCATGGAGCAAGCATCCAACACATCAACACTCCAAAGACTCCAAAAATGTCAACTCAGGACTCAGTTGTTGAAGGCGGTATATCACTGATGGGTATTTAAAACAAGGAGAACCAATCATTCCACAAATTCTTTGACTATTGATTATTTTAAATGAGCAACATATGAAAGGCTAGTTAATCAATTGCAAAGACTTTATAGGAATTTTATGGGAAAATATAATTTGTCTTGCCAAGAGTTAAATAGGGAGATGATATAATTTATACTTGAAAGTGATAACAATCCTTTAATAGCATCAACTCTCAGCATGAAAGCGAATACGCGTTATTACCAACATTCCTATAATACATATCAATGACAGTTATGTAAGAATGAAGATATAGTGTGTCAGGGTGGAAAGTTCCCCAATGGTTGTCCATAAACAATAAGCATTGCTTTCCTAAAATAAAATACTGTTAAGGGTGGTGTAAGAGAGAATGTGTTTAGTTGAAAATGCAGCTACTTTTTGTGCACCCTTTGTGATTTTTAAGTGTGTTACCTGTGGGGCAGCCTGATATAATGAGACTCTGTCCAGCCCTCTCTCTTCTCACTTCCTGGACTCACAGTAACTTGAAAAGGAATTAGAGATATCCTCCTCTGCGGTCACAGCCTGTTGGAGAAAAGATGAATGGCATTAAGAGGCTGACTTCCAGTCCTTTAGAGGACAGGGGGCTTTGAGGAGAATCAAGTAATTTGAGATCCTCCTATTTTCTCTGGTGTGTCTGTGATCATGTCTCTCTCGCTTTCTCGCTAGTGATTATTTCCAGTCATCAAAAGGCAGAGTAGGGCCTGGAGAAAGTGGCCGTGGCCATCTTTCCCTCGCTCCTCAGGCTCTGCTTACTCACCACTAGTGAAGGTCAGCGGATGGACTCATTCACCTCGTCTTCAAATCATCAGCCCTCACGATGCTCGCTTCTTTACAGCGCCGTGCAAGCAGTGGCTCCTGTTCCTAATGAATGTCCTAACTAAATACACTTATAAGATGATACACTTTATACTCTGGATTTAGTCCTATTCTCTCTGTAGTCCCCTCTCTTGTTCTGTGTTGATCTGTAGGTAATATTCTGTACTGTAGGTGCCACCTACCTTTATTGAAAAAGCCCCTTGGCCATTTTATGCCAGCAAGATAATTATAAATGTGACCCGTGGCAAAAAAGCAAAACACAACTCCCACATCTCTCCCTTGCCATTTCTCTCTCTCTTTCTCACCCGCTCTCTGTCTCTCTCCCTCTCACCCTCTCTCTTCCATTCCTCCCCCTCCCAAAGCCTCGGGAGCTGATTTCAAATGTTCAAAGATATCTCATAGTGAGGCTGTGAGATTGAAGGCTCATAAATAGCTTTATTATAATATAATGGCCACATATTTCTAGCCATTATTCCTAGTGGAGAAATTAGTTAATCTGTGTGATGAATGCCTGCACAGTCATTGGGGATTTAAATGTTCTTAGATGGACAATTGCTGGTAGGATAATATCTCAAATGGACACTCGCTAGAAGAATAATATTTCACAGTGGCTTTGCTTGAGTTATAGAATAATGTCTTGATATCAAAAATGTAACCTGTATTGATGGGTTCTTGGGCTTGAACTTACTTAAGGAGAAGGCTGTAGAAAAATCCCTTTTGCTTTTGTTTCTGCAGTACCACATTAACACTTAATCCTTAACGTCCCCCAAGTTTTTTATTTTGTAGGAGCCCAAGGCAACTTGTAATAATCCACTTTTAATGTTTAACAGATTGTAACCCAGTAAGCTTTGATGGTGGTTTTGTCAGCGTGGCCTTACAAGATATTCTGGGAGCAGCACCACACATAGTGAGAATAGAAGTGGAAGGCTAAATGACCAAATTACAACATTAAAAAAGCTGAGAACTACCTTCTGACAGTCACACCATGCATCTCCTAATTTTCTAATATCGTTTATGGGACTCCTAAATAGTACCTCCACACCACTTTTAAGGATGTTTAACCTGTTAAGCTCCAAAGACCCCTTCGGCGGGTCTTTTTTTTTTCACAACACTGTGTCACTGTGCTTCTTAATATTAAAAAACTATGAAAGTGTCATACACTCCTAACGGGAAGAAACTCAGTTAACTGATGATACGAACCATTTTTACCGAAAAAAAACACAAGTCTCACAAGAAGGGTCTAAATGAGCCCTGAGCAAAACATGCTAACGCAGAGCACAGAACTCTAGCTATACCGATTGATATACTAATTGGATCTGCACAAACAAGCTTAGCTAAGATCCTGAGATTCCACAGATTATAGAAATATAAGTATCATCACTGAGTGATTAGAACTCGCGACAGGGGAAGCAAATACAGACAACACACGACGTAGCTTTAGGTAGCAAAACACGGAGATATGCTCACCTTATGGATCGGTCAAATCCACCCAAATGACCCCAGAAGTGTTTTTTTGTTGCTAAATCTCTCTAAAAAGGTCAAATTTCACTTGTTTTGCATCAATCTTGATACAGGGTACTTATTATATGTTATAGTTTGGATTCCTAAAGCTTTTAGTCTACCATCCCATCATTCAAGGGTGGTTTTCACTATAAGTAATGTGGTTTTTTTGGACGGACACAACCATTTACATTTTTTTACTATGTTCAATCTGAATTTACTTTAAAATAAAAATAAATCTATATTGATTCTCACTTTTCTACATCCAACTCACAGGTTTATCATTGCTTTGAGAAAAAAGATTATTAATTTTCCCCTTTTAGAACTGTAGTTATGGTCATTTGTTCTGGGAATGTCATTTTCGAGCATGAGACCTGGAAAACAGGCTCGGGGCAGATACTCAGGACTTTAACCTGTTAGACCCCAAGCCTGTTTTTTCAGGTCTCAGGCTCGAAAATGACATGCCCCTTGTGTAAAAGAGAAAGTAAAAGAGAATGTGATGGTTTATACACCCTAGTGTTACAATGTAAATCTTTACTTTTAATTAAGTGCATGTATCATGCACCATGCAGCAGAACGGCTACACTTTACTTGCCTCTTTTGTCAAAAGTTTTACACCGAACTTCATCAAATGCTGTACTTACCTCGTGGTGATTGGGCTGTAATATGTGACAGTGCTCCAAGTGGAGGATTTGTGGTAGTGCTGCACAATATGCTGCAGTTTCCATTGTTTATTTATCAGTCAGGCCTTGAGTTATGGTGTGCTTGCAGTGAGGAATTTTAGACCGGACTATGGTCGCTGCAGGCCCCTTGGCATACACTGTACACTGAGAGGGAATCATTTATATTCTACTCCAGAGGTAACAGTAGAACATGAGATTGGGAAACAGCTCAAACACCACTCTGCTTGTGAGGCTTAAGGCACAGAAAAGTCAAGTCGTTTTTTGGGGGAGGGCTGCAGAGCATATTCAAGTAAGTTCTGTTTTTCTTTTCTGTTTTTTTTAAAATAGTTTCTCCAAAAAACATCCTTATATAGATACATGTGGTGCTCAGTTTTACTTTCATTGTGGCACATTTGACATTGACTCTGAACGGCTCGGTGGAGCTGTGATGGAATGCAGGCTTTACTGAAATGCAGCAATGAAATCTGACCAGTGGAGCTGCCTGTAAATGCTATAGGTGCCTCATTGTAACCTGTATTGAAAAAGCCTGGAGGGCGTTTTAAGCCATTGAGATAATTGCAAATGTGTCCTTTGGCAAACACATCAGCAAACTTGCCCCCTCCCTCCCTCCCTTCTTTCTTTCTTTTACTCCCTCCCTCTCTTGGTCGAGAATTAATAAGGGCTACCTATCCTTGATTAAAAGGTCTCAACTGTATACTGTGTTGCTCACCGGTAGTGCCCCTCCCTTCTCCAGCCTTTCACATGGGCAGACCTGCATGTTAGGAGTGCTCTAATGATTCTGGAGCTTGCCATTCTAGGGCCACCCATCCATCATAGTGGTAAGGCCAGCGGCTTTATTATAATACAGAGGACAGACATGCTCTGAGGCTATGTGGGACACAATAGAGGTCTTTCAACAGACCTATAAATACATGATCTGTCAGAGTTGCTGTCCTGAGGGCGCTCTCAGCTAGGCTCAAGCCCTCAGGTCGGCCATCACTTATGCTAAGATATGCGCCAGCCCCCGGGCTAAGGCTAAGGCTCAGTTCATTTCAGCCCCTCATCAACCACCACATTCTACCTCCAGCCATGAGAATAAATAAGAACAAGATGAAAAAAAAGTGATTCATTATGATGGAAAGCAAAACCTTAACAAAACAAACACATGGAGGGAGGGAAGACAAACAGTGATAGGCGACTATTGACACTTTGGCAGCAGCATCTGAAAAGCTGTTGGGTAATAAAACACGGGGATTTTGATCCAACAACACACTTCAATGTTAGGAAAAAGCTGGCCATAAGGGTTAAATGCTGAGACATTTGTTGTATATCAGACATGTAAACAACTATATTCAAAATCACCACACCTGTGTGTGCCCTAAATA